TATAAATTTCATTATTTGATGGATAATACCTATACTTGAAAGTTATTCGAATAATTTGAAATTAAGAGAAATGATAATTTTTGTTAGATCATTTTGTGTTCTTTAAAGATTCAAAACTTTATCTTCTAAATCAATACTAGTGTGTTATAGCATTGGAAGACAATAAACTTGACGACAAGATGATCTATTGATTGTAATTAGACGTCTAGATGAGTTACAAGAGATTATTTGAAACATTCAAAGTGTGGGGGTGCTTGGATTATGATTAATAGTCAATAATATTTGAAGAAGTTTAGTATATAAAGTATTTCTTCAATACCCACAAGATATATCTTTTATATATTTGACATGGTAGTTATATTTACAACTTGACAATTTTAGTGATAGTTAGTTGATTAAACTACTAATGTGATGATCAGGCTATAAGTCTTGACATAAATATTGTGTATTTTCATGAAGTAATATCACTTAAACTGTTGTGACTTTTCATCAAAAAAAGTATTTGTTATAAGATAACTTTTGTATAGATATGACCTTCATACATAAATGAATTGGTGTGTTGGTCTATAAATAATGATGAATCTTTTAGTGATAATGATAAAACTATATAAGTTGGATTTGTAACATGTATGAAGGTGCCCTAAGTTTTGCATCAAAATAGATTTAAATTTTATAGTGGAATAAGAATATATTTAGCATATAAATTCTTGAAAAGAAATGAAATGGTTGAAAAAAAATATGATTTTGATGAAATGTTGTGGCCACAACTGATGCAATCATTATAAGCTATCGAGACAATGATGGTATCTATGATATCCCAATGTGAAAGATTTGTTTATGATTTATATTAATCTTATATAATTTAGTTTCAAAAGATGCAGTATAAATGTGTGAAAGAATAAGGCTAAACTCTTTAAACTAAACACAAATAACGGGAACCCAACTTTGAGTTAGTATATACTCTAACAATACAAGTTCAACGGGTATTAACAAGTTACTTTGTGTTGCTAAAGCACAAATCTTCTCTTTTAAAGTTTTGATTCAAGTGTACTACATACTATTATTTGAGAAGTTGAGGAGTTGTTAAATGCTTGAAATAGCAGGGGATTAATGGCAAACACCATTGTGCAAACTATTACATGGAGGTTGAATTAATTCTTAATGAAATGTGTAAATGTTTATAGTAACAGGGACATAGTAGCTAATTTCACCTATATGTCTATTGAAGTGGTGCCACTTCAAGCAAGATCTAAAGGATTGATCTTGTAAATATTCATGAAATCAGGAGAGCACATGACCATAAACGTACTAAAGCAAATACTGGGATTTCTAAGCTATAAACAATATTATATGTGTGATATTTTTTATTTTTGACACAAGGAGTTGTGGTTCAAATCTTTTAAGATACCAATTACTTCGTCAGAATTTTAAAGTACTTGCACTAACAGAAAATTCAAATCTATTATAAGATACTCTATGGTATGCATTATATCGTGAGAAATATTACAAACTAGTGGAGTAATTGTTGGATATTTTGTAATATATAAATGTCTTAAATTGAATAGACACATTTGTTCATGAAAGAACATGACTGTTATAAAAAGTCATTTGTTCATGAAAGAACATGACATTTATGAAAAATCATATGTTCATAAAAGAACACGACTCTTATAAAAAGTCATATGTTCATGAAAGAACTTGACTCTTATAAAGAGTCATTTCTTAAGTTCTATAAATATAAGAACTCCCTAGAGTAGCCTAAGAAAAAATTATATGTATAAACAAAGGGCTTTGTTATATTCTTGTATAGAATTGTTCATATTTACTCCAATAAATATATATATATATATATATGGACAATAACTCTTTAAAAAAAGTAATTACACACTTCAAAGCCAACTCCTTCTTCAAATTATATTTCCTACTATTTTTTTTCTAACATAAAGTCTATACAATTTCGAGATACTAATTAGAAAACACAATCTTATCATTTCTTTGGGCAAAATATAAGACAAAAAGTACCATGCTAAAGCAAGAGGATAAATTCAACATTTCTAGAGCAAGTAAGAATATATAAAAAAAATTATTGCAAAAAATAATTAAACATACATTAGCAAATAGATTTCACAGTACTAGTATGCTAGAAAGTCTTTGATGCATAGGGTTACTGTTTAGGATAGGTGGATGTGGCGCAATAAATATATGAAGCTCAATCTATCTCATCAACTCATCATCACATCCATCAATAATTAATTTTTTCGAAACTTACGTATAATATCTTTTTTTGTCATAGGTAATCTCGTTGATACTGAACTTGACTTTTACACAATTGATACATTTTTGTTCTAATCATAGGTACAAATTGTGTAATAATCAAACCTATTATTAACAACACTAATTTTTTGTTTAATTTGTGTTCAAATCATTTGGTCAAAAGCTTATTCAGCTATCATTTTTCATACCTACTGTATATTATATTCGTACTAATTGTGTAATATCTTTTTATAAGCTATATTATTTTTAAGTTTACAACAAGATCTGGTAGAAATAATGTTATTAGGGTTATTTCAAATTAATAAATTAGCCATGAATATGTAATACATTACCTTAGATTTTATAATATAAAAAACATATAAATATTTGAGTATTTTATTTCAAGGTCTAAAATATTTTTATCATTAAAAAAAAATAATCTTTCTTTCCTTATTTGTTAGGTGAAATGGTCTAATGGACCCTTGTAGAGTTTGTATTATGGATCCTTCTACTTAAATTTTTGTCAACTGAACCCATTGAAACTTAATATTTTGAACCCTTTTCTCACATGGTGGATAGTGAGTGAAATACAATCCCTACATGTCAAATGCCATCTCATTTTTAACCACCACATAAGAAATAAAATGACAAAATCAAATTAAATCCCCAAAATTTTATCTGAAAATCTTTTTCTCTTTCTTTCACATTTCTCTTCTTTCTCCTTACTCATTCCAAAGGCTTTCACTACGAAAATGCAGTACTTGCAAGATCGACAGTGTGGTGGTGAAACTACCACTCGAAGATGGAGAGGGTAATTGGGCCACATTCGATTTTGAAAAAGCAGTGATGGCCCGAACCACTGTGACACTCACTCTAAAACCCTAAAAGTCACGAACAATCAGTTCTCGTTCAAATTACTCAACCCTCAGATTCTTTTCGTTCATTCCTCCATGTTTGTTTTCCTTCCCTTCTTTGCAATTTTGGATCAATTTAACTTTTTAGTTTTTTATAATTTATTCATTTAAGAAAGGATTTTGTGTTCCGTAGATTTGTAGAAATTGGTGTGGTTGACGGCTCCGACGATGTTGAGTTCGGATGAAACAGGATACTTGTTAAAGAGTAGGATCGATAAGTCCATTTATTTGTTTGGAACAATGAAAGAAATTTGTTACTTGGGGAGATTCTTCTGTAGAGTAATAAAGATTGAATTTGTTCAAGAAATAATGAGTCTTTTGAAGAAGATGAAAGGCAACAATGAAACAATGAAAAAATGGAGAAAGAATTTGGACATAAATATTTGAAGATTAGTAGAAAAGCCCCAAAAAAACTTATATTTGTTCAACAATGGTAAATGAATATGGGGAAGAAGATGAGTCTTAATTAGGTCAAAAAATGACATTTTCTATCTCTTTTGAAGACCTCACGCTCATAAAATATGTGTATCACACACACTTTGAACAAAAATGTCACATAGGATGACGGGTCAAAAAAAAGTTTGAAATACTAAGTTTCAATAGGTTTAGGGGTTCAGTTGGTAAATGATTAAGTAAAAGGGTTCAGAATACAAACTCATACAAGTATAAGGGTTCTTCAGACCATTTCGCCTATTTTTTATAAAGATTTGTGGCTCATGTAGTAAAAGAACTTTTTTTTTTTAAAAAAATAATAATAAATAAGAGATACCAAAGATGTTTGTCCTTTTAAGTACTTCTTATTTGTCTGTCCAATTTAGTACTATGGATTTATAAGTTCATACATTTGAAAGAGTTAAGTAGATTCAGTAATTACAGATATCGCCCATTATGGCATTACATATTACTAATATACGTAACAAATAATTTTAATCATATATATATGATATATGATGTTTTGATAAAAAGGATTGGAATGAACCGCGATTTCCTTAGCTGTGTCCTTTGTCGGATGATACTTTGTTGTATATTCAATCAGAAATGAAATCCCAAGGCCAGTATCACACGTTGCCAAAGTGCACACTCTTCATCAAACTATATATTACACCCAACAATATGGACACTAAAATCAGATTATTGTATAATGTGTATTTTAATTTTTTAGGCATGTTCTTCGATTCATACCACCTAATTATTCTCCCCAATCTGTAGAGGAACCACTAACAAGATGATCGATCAGCCATACAGCGGTAACTTCGATCCTGGGCCTTGTATACAACGCCAGTCCCACTATGGGAGTTAGTCATGTCTTAGTGGGAGTTAGTCATGTCTGAAGTTGTCGGTAAATGGAAAAGCCTTATCCTATAAGAAAAAATGAATAGTGCTGAATTAGAACATTAAAGCAGGACTAAATTGGTCCTACCTGCTCCTAGGGCAGATCAATGGAAGAAGAGAAAAGTCTCGAAGGCGGAAAAGGATATGAAGGAGTGGAGTTTGTTCGAGAAATTTCATTTAATCATTTTATCTTTGTACTGATTCACGTCAACCCAATAATATAACAGTCGCGTTGTGTTCCTCATCAGCGCGGAACAAATTTGTAGAAACTGGTATACGCCAGAAGAATATTGAATTTACCAATGTGTATCGGTTTCTGCATATACTATAATGTTTGGAAGTCGATCTTTTAAGATAGCCGCCCAATGTATTACTAGACTCCAGGAAAGGAAATTGAACAAACAGTTTAAAGCCTATACAATTTGGAGATACTACATAAAAAACAATCTTATCATTTCCTCATTTCTAGAGCATGTAAGAATATTAAAAAATAATAATTAATTACTGGAGAACGAAGGCGATTAGACAAACATTAGCAAAGAAATTTCACTGTGGTTGATAGTCCACAATTTACAGAACAGTTCTTTAAACTCTACTATGGTAAATTATAAATTCTGTAAACTATTCCTTATTGGGGTAGTCCACTGTAGTACTAATGTCGCGGTTTGAAGTAATGGCGACTTCCTTAGTTGCTCCCTCTTCATCTTTGTTGTCATCCTTCACAGCTAATACTACAAGAGCTACCAGTAATGGGAAACTAATGGAGGTTAACGCCCAATTCGCGATAAGCTGGTTTATGAATGGGACATTATGTGAATCGACTTGCCAAGCAACGGCTCCACCTGCACTTTGTACTCCTTTATAGAAGCCACTATACCTGTGAATACAAATAAACAAATCCAATTTTAACCAATACTGATATTCAATTCTGTTTCTCGTAAGCATAAATTGAAATTGAAAATTTACCTGCTGAGAACCTCAGAATCATCTGCCAAGGCTCCTATAACCCAATAGACCATGCTCTGAAACATGGCATCGAGTAATCCATAACTAAAATACAACACGAATGGACCTGCAAATTTAGAACCATCCTTGAAATCCAGTAACACTATGTGATTAGGTACATCATCATGGGAATATGTAAGCTGTTTCGCGAATCCTCCGCCCCAAATTGCTGTTGAAAGCAGACCAACAACAATAATACCAACCAATCCCCTAGCCTTTCTGCTCTTAAAACTGTAGTCCATTATGGACCCGATTAACACCGAACCGATCATCTGTGCACCCCAATAGAACACATTGTTCAAACCCCTTGTCCTCAAATTGAACAACACCCCATTTACATTATTGAACTGATAGGTATAAAAGAAGTTACTAGCCCACGAGGCTGGAACCATCAACAGCATCTTCCAGTTGCCGAACAGTTTGAGAATTTGAATTAATTCCACAGACACACTCGAGTACTTAATATTAGTACACGAAGAACCATCGTTTCTAATGACCTTACTAGGATGCAAAATCGCTAAAGAAAGAAACGTTCCGATGACCATGAAGACCATAAATCCAATATATGTACCATCATTAACAGAGGCCGCGGTAGTTCTATTATAGTTGGACACAAACGGTATAAGACCACCAATAACACCACCCATGTTGAAAATACTCCAAAACATAGAGATATAAGTACCTTTCCTGTCATGTGGCGGGTACGATGTCATAATAGCTCCCTGGGCAGCCCAGAGTAGGCCGGCGCCAACACCAAGGAGGCCGCCGGCCACTACCACAAACGCTTGATGCTTGTGGTGATTGTAGTAAAGAAAAGAACCCGCATACAATATATAAGTTGAACACCCAACAAACAGAGTCTTTTTTGGACCTAAAATGTTGTAAATTCCACCACCCAATATCCCAAAAATAGCGAAAGCTGTGTAGAGTGCGGTGTTGGCGTTGTTAGACGCCGTGTGGTCGACTTGACCAGCACCACCCATTCCAGAGAGCGCATTGAACATCCCTGGACAACAAAAACATACTAATCCAATCAAACAAACCTGAACCAGTGGCGAATTGTACCTGAAAATTGAATTGTTTGGAGGTGAATTAGGTAACCCATTTCCATTTTCTTCATCTGCGTAAGAACCCATAACGCTTTGGCCTGTGATAGTCTCAAATTAAAACGGATCAAAGATGAGAAAAATGGATCCTCAAATTTGGGAATTTGGATTAATTGGGAACTTTGAAAGCAAGGATTAGATGAATTGAAAAACTTGCTGTTTTTGTTGGATGACAAGTTTAATTAACATTCTTTTTATAGTGTGTCATATTCATAAATCATACTACTAACTGCAGGTGTATTTCTTATTTAAAATTAACAACTGGGCCTCGGAACTCGGAAGGATTGATTTCGATGACAATTGGATAAAAATGGGTGCTTTGCTGGCTATATAGTTAATTACGGGTAGTTTAACGTTAACTCTTATAATTAAGTGTAGATAAAACAAATGGTCTCCAATTATCACGGCTAATTTGATTCCGTGTTTCACAATGGTCCCAACCCAGAAGTTCAAGATTCATTATTATTTTTTTGTTTTTTGTCGATGAGTAGCACGATTTTTTCTGAATATAATAATAGCTTTAAAATATCACCTTTGTCGGTATCCTCGTAAAGTAATAGGCAAGAAAATAATTAGAGAGCTATGGTTTGTAAATAGTCAATGTTTTTTTAAAATTATTTTTAAGATTGTTACATTAAGGCAGGCCTGCCAATCTGCATTGGGTCCTGGATTAGATACTAGTATAGTTTTTTATTGGATTAAGTTTTAGGTCATAAAAAAAGTGAGGAAATTCCTTTGAAGACAGAATATTTAATTTTAAGTGTGTAATACGATTTAAAACCAAGTGGATCATATGATAATAAAATGAGTAATGAATGAGAGAATTAGCTCATTTTTATGTTCGCTGCATTATTAAGATTCAAAGGAATCCTAAATGTTCCTTATAATTATAATTTTGAACTTCTTTAACCAAATATTTTACATACGAGATTTAGATTTAGCGTGACTGATTTTTATTGTAAATTTGAACTTAGAATTTTTCAAAAATAAAAGTTATATATTTAAAAACTTCATAGAAATATTATGTCATAATAAAAGTTGGAATAAAAATAAAGTCATAATAAAAAATATTTAAAAAAATATATTCAACTCTCCAAATAATAATAGCATCATATAGATACAAAATTAGGGAGTTTACCACGTCAACTACCCCTAGACTCCTCTCAATGAATAATTAGCTTTCACATTAATTTCGTATTATCTTTTGTTATTCATAGATTAGGACCTGAGAATTAGGACCAACTTAACTATCTTCCCTCTTTTGGCTATTAGGAATCTATAAATAAATCTATATAAAGCCAAATATGAAAACACTGATGTGGCACCTCTCAATGGCCTCTATTAGTATTTATCTATTTTATCATTTTTTTTTAGCTTTTATCTTATTTTTAATTACAAATTAAAAATGCATTCATGATATAAGAAAAATAAATTTAACTTCTATAATTAAAAACTTGTGTAACAACTAAATAAATTAAGATACATCATAAACATAATAATTAAGAAATTGTGTAATGGCTAAATAAATAATGGTACAATTAGGATACATCATAAACATAATTTCTTCAATAAAATTATTAACTAATATTAAAATTAAGTCATTGATTAATTAACTCAATGAAAATGGCAGTTGCTAGAATATGAATGTCAATTTTGCTATTTCAATATAATTGATTGACTAAAAATTTGTACTAATTACGGAAGTTTAATATTTTTTTTCTAATTGCAAAATTAATGAAAAGCTACCCACTTAATTCTTTTAATTACACTTCTTCTTCTCCCTCAATTGTAACTTATATCTCATTCAAACCCATTAAATCCCTTTAATTATTCCCCAATCATTCAACTTAACCATGCATATATTCTGCAATCTTTTTCCACAAATTCAAAACATGGGAAAAAGTAATCATAATGATATGTATTCTTCTTTTTCTGATTATGATTTCAAGGAAGCAAATATAGTTTTATGTCAATACTCAAATTGAGAATAATATTTGGCTTTATTTTATTTTTATTGTTGTTGTTTATTTTGATCATAAATATGTAAATGATATTTCTTTTTGTCAAAATATTACTATCTTATAAAGTTATTTATTTTTTCAATTTTGAAGGTTGTTTCTTCCTCTACAGCATGTTTGTTCACTTCATGAGGTTCCTACAAAGAGGAAGATGAAATTCTTAAACAAAGCAGCATCTACCTAGAGATAAAATTTGGTATTTGTCCGTAAAATTCTTGCTTAATTTTATTATGATACATTGTCTTATTAAAGTTTATACAAGTAAAATTCTAATAGTTCTTTGTTATATATCCATAAAAAATGAAATACTTGACTTGCTAATTTTACAAACTCCTATTTGAATATAATTTTCATGATATATCCATTTAATTTTTGGAAGATATGACTAAAATTAGATGAAAAAGATAAATAAAATTATCTTATTAATGCAAAAATAAGAAGAAGTTAACCTTTTATTTGTTTATTTTATATATATATATATAGACACAGACTCATTGAATAGTTATACATTTAATTTTAGTTTTACATTTTTATTCCTATTTATTCATTGAATTATTTTTAATTATCTAAATTTTAATAAGTTCCACCTATAATATATAATGAGAGATATACTATGAAAATTCTTATATAAATGATTGTACTTAAAAACAAAAATATATATGTTTTAAATAACCCAGATGTATATCTTGGTGTGTGAAATAATGCTAAAAACATGTTCTTTTAGTATTTTTCTTTCATATAAAAAAGAGTGGCATTTTCTAAATTCATTATTAAAGTAAGATATAACTTATAATACACAAGAAAATAGATAGAAGTGAAATCAATATATATTAAAAACAAGTGTATATTTTGATTTATTGCTTAATATTACAGTTTTTAAAATTTTGTATCAATCTAAAAATTACAAATAGAACAATTGATATAACAGTGTTATGATCGGAGTCCCTAGAAAAAAATGTAAAGTTATTTGTTGAAATTACAAAAATTAAAGCAACATATTTTTTTTTCATCTCATCTTATTTATTTTTTGTTAAATTTAAAATCTAAAATACTTTAGTGATATATTTTTTTGACCAAGAACTACAATTATTATTTTCTGGTCTCTATTTTTTCTTCATTTGTGTCTATTTTTTCTTCATTTGTGAGCACTTGAACTCACAAATATCCACAAATAATAATAAAGATAACCTTACTTTCCTAACAATCAAGAAGAAAAAAGTATGTTGATTAACATACTTTTCAAATAGATAGTTGGGTAGACAATTAATCTCTTCCCCAATCAATGTGAAACTTCAACCCACTCTAACAAATACAATTTCGATCAAATATATGTCCATCACCTAATGAAACTTATACTACACAAAAAGTAACAACATATTATCATGGTAGAGTGTCTAATATGAAATGAATATGATTCGCAACAAATGATAGCATATTCTTATCTTTAAGACTCATGGAAAAGGCAAACCAAGCAACGGATGAAGACGTTGAGTTTGTTAACCATTGTTTTTTCTCTTAATACACTATTTTATGAAGGAATCCTTACCAGATCACTATGAAACTTTACAATGACAAAAGAGACTTATTGATAACTAATACATTTGCATTTTCCTCTAGAAAACTTTCAATATGGGAAAGAGGTATGGATATACGAAAAGAACAATAGAAGACGTGGGAACAAAATATTGACAAGTGTTCGAAAGATTGTGCATTCATTTTATATTTTTCTCTTATGTTTTTAGTGATTAAGATCATAAAAATGATGTTGTGTTATTTATTGTAGTTACGTTCTCTCTATCATTTCTCTTTATTTTGTATATTATATAAATTTTTCATTGTTGTCAGTTTATAATTTATGGTTCAAAATAGTAATTTATGACTTTGTTGGGAGTCAACTAACTACTAATTAATACTGAATAAGTATATATTGACATCTTATTGTCTTTCTTAATCGCGCGAAGCGCGAACAAATTCACTAGTTACTAAATAAGTCCTAATCCTTTTCTTTATTTTCTTTTCTATTTGAGCCATCTTTTGTGATATTTTGGTAAATTTGTTATCTATAATTTTTATTTAATGCTTTAAATACCTTTGGAGAGTTAAGTCCTACTTAGTTATTTTCCCTTGTTTGTATACTATGAATTAAGTCCCATTTCTTTTTCATTTTTTCTATTTGTGATCTTTTGGTATATTTGTTACGTCTTTTAATGATCTGATTTTTTTTTGACAGTCAAGACCTACCTCCTATTTATTCATTTGTGCATCTTTTGTAGTAATGTTTTCTTAAATCTGTTGTGTAAATTTAACTCATATTTGGTAAATTCGTAAAGTTTTTTTTGTTCCGTGTTGAAATAGAACCTTAATTCATTACTTATTATTAGATTTTAGATTAGTTAGTGATTATATATATATTAGTATTAGATGAGATTTTACGAATATTTTATTACCTTGAACATTTTATAAAAGGTGTTAGATAAATAACGCCAAAAAAAAGTCAAGAGATCCATACACCACTAGTATTTATTGTTGTATTGACTTGTAGATAAATTTACCAAGCTCCAAAGTCGTTCACGTTATTCTTTTTTCCTTTTTAGTCGTTCAGATTATTCCACAAGTAAAATGAAAAAAGGGACAACTGAGATAATGAGATATATAAAGTCTATTTATTTTAAATTCTAATCAGTTAAACTAATTATATTCATAAACTTGGTGATCAATGTTTGTTTATAAAAATAGTGTATTATTACATAGGGATATAATAAGAGAAAATGAGTAAAAGAATTGCGAGACAATCAATTTTTTGCCAACAAAATGAAAATCTTGATAGTTACTAACTAGTTGAACTACTTCAGATATTTATGTTCAAACATTTGAAAGAAAATAAAAAAAGAGAGGAGGAAATTGAGGGAAGTGAAGGGATGGCTAATCAGAATGCTAAGCTTGCGTTTGGATATATTCCATATTATAATTTAAAATTATGATTTCAAATCTTGGATATGTGATTTGAAATCAACATTTTATATCCCAAATTCGTTCAAGAAAAATATGATTTGAAATTTTAAATCATGATTTCAAAAATTTCAAAATGCAAAACTTAATTCATTAGTTTATATTTTGTAAAAAATGAGGCCATCATTTTAAATTTTGCAAAAAATGACTTATGCTTGACGTGAGA